GGCAGGGACCCATTTTGAGTCATTTACAGACACAGGATTTCCAAGGCAGTAACTCCTATGGCAGCAGACAGCCTCATCTTTCTCCCGAGGGTTGGCGGACGGTTTAGAACTGCTGGCCTTGTGGTCAGCAGCCCATGGTGTAACGCACTACACCACCAGGGCTCCTTTAGTGCCACCTCCAAAAAAATTTCCAAACTCACTGCCATCAAGTTGATTCCAACTCACAGCAACCCTGTGAGAACAAGGGAGAATGTCTCTGTGGCTTCTGAGACCGAAACTCTTCACAGACGAAGAGAGCCTCACCTGTCGCCCTCAGAGCAGCTGGTTGTTTCAAACGGCTGGGATTTCGGTTAGTAGCTCAGTGCATCACTGCTATGCAACAAGCCTCCTGTTTTGTGCTACCTAGGGACTCCTCGATTACCTGAGCACCTTTTCTATGTCTAGGAGAGCTTCCTGCTGCCCAGAGCTAATACTCACTGCCGTCAAGTTGACCTCAACCCATAGAGACCTTATGGGACAGGGTAGAACTGTCTCCTGTGTTTCTGAGACTGTCACTCCACACAGGAGTAGAACGCCCTGTCTTTCTCCCTCAGAGCGGCTGGTGGTTTTGAACTGCTGATCTAGCAGTTAGCAGCCCAATTCATAACCACTACCCCACCAGGGATCCTTGCCCAGCACTAACAGGTCCCCAAATTGACTTCCCTGGATACCAAATACCAGGAGGCATCCACAATAGATGGCCCTCAGTTCAGAATCCAGTATTTCCATGGCTATCTTGAATATAAATTTCCATAAACCGAATCACATTTTCCCATCAATGTCTCTCATCAAACTTAGAAATGAATTCTCATGTGAAACCTGTTTGAGCCCAAGATATAATAATAATACAATTCACAACAATGCTATATCAAACTTATTTTATTTGTATCCTTTAAAAAACTAGAGATGTCTGAGAAACATTTGTGAAAATCACTCCAAACACAATCATGGTACCAAACTTTAAAGACCAGCAGAATCCTACCTTCCTCCTGCATGAGGACCGCCTTGGGTGGTCTTACCCTAGGCCGGTATGTTCTTTTAAACTTGTTGCTTATAACGGATCGCTTCTAAAGTTTGCAGGTCTGCCCTGGTTGTTTATTACACAGTCCAGATTCAGGGAGATTAAGGGCCCTGTTTGGGGTCTCGGGAAAGATGTTTCCATGAAGACAGCGAGCTTGTGTAGCGCCCACCCTTACCCTCTTCTCTGTGGAAACCGAAGAGGTCTCAGAAATGGTGGCTTCCTCCTGGTGACACAGCAGCTGTAATCTGTCTGATAGTGTGTGTGTGAAGGGGGTGGGGGGGGGTTACGGGAACCACAGGGCCCAGCACAGTGAGCCTTGTACCTCCCATGTCAAGCTTCACCCTTGCTGAGAACAGGGGCAGCCAAGAGGCACTGCGTCACAGTGACCACTGGAGATCTAGTCACACCATTGTTTGTTTGTTTTCATTTATTTGGGGTGATAGAAGGAGAAAGAGGAGGCTTTCTACTCCGGTGAAGAGTGACAGTCTCAGAAACCCACGGGGGCTGCTCTGCCCTGTCCTATAGGGTCACTGTGAGTCGGCCTCATCAACGCCCTGGCGGTGAGAATGAGAGCCAGCGATTGAATATTATTCTCACGGGCAACTTAAGTTTGATTCACGGCGGTTGTTTTCTATTTATTGCTGCCCTTGAGAGACCCAGAGCCCTCAAGGCACAACGAAAGGGAGCCAGGTCCCCCGGGGATGTGCAAGTTCCCTTTGGGGCTGAGGGCAGGCACTGGGACATCACTTGGGCCTGGTGTTGCCTTCTGGCTTCCTGCCACCCCGCCCTGTGGAAACCTTTGAGGTCTCAGAAAGGCGAGGGCTGCTGCAGCCAAGATCAAGACCCCAAGGCCTTCCGGTAGCAACCGGGGTCGGTGGAAAAGCAGGCGCCAGGCCTGCTTCTGAACTTTCCTCGGGGGATTTCACTAGTCTTTGGACCAGGAGGGAGTTTCCTAACCCGTCCTAGTTTCTGGGAAGCTGAGTCATTTGAATCAATCCGCCAATTCCCCTGCCCACCCTCCCCACCCTCCCCACCC